AAAGCGAGGTGAAGTTGAAACTGATTGAATTAAACATACTTCAAACCAACTTTTCCTGATGCTTTCGAATGAGGCTACTGACGAACAAGGAAAAATATATTGTTTTAGTCAATATTGCAGCCGCCGAGTAACATATGAAGATCCATTTTTTTACAATGACAGAGCGTACTCTTACAATCTGATTGGCTGACAGATGACAGACACATAGAACGACAAATCGCTGCGTTCGTGGTTCCACACTTGAGTTTTAAACGTATTTTAAGACTTCGTCTATGATCAAAAAGAGGACAGTCTATGGACATCTATGAAAGATTTGTTAATCTTATCATWTGCAGATTTATCTCTAGGCTACGTCTGTTAATATGTTTTTGTTTTCCGTTTCAACCCRAGAATATATATATATATCTGTATGTATGATAACACACAGGTTCCTCTTTTTAGCTTCTTTTCTCCCTCAAAAGAGCAAATGTTTTGGAGATGATTATTCTTATAGTACTGCTTCAATCATTTTTGTATGGTTCTTATGTATAACCCGAAACGTGCCCAAACTAATTTTTAGTAACTGGGATTCCTGTGTTTCATGGCGGTTAATCAAAACCGAAAGAGCAAAACCAAAGTAAAACAATGGCGTTCCATGCTGTTTGGTTGTCATGTTTGTGATAATCTTTGATCTACACAAAAATTTGATAATATTYTATTGAAATGTTGTTAAATGATAGTTGTTAGTGATCAAAACAATCAAAGGAAAGAGCGCGTGCACGTTGACGTCAGCKTATTTGTCCGTCCTCTTTATGCTCTCTTATTGATGATAAAAAATAACCAATCAGCGCGCGAGAAATTTGTAATTTATTGTAAAAATATTTATTTATCAAGTCCTTGATGTAGGTAAAAGTAATAGGTAGGCTCTTTGTTGTAAGGATTTCCCATTTCAGACAATGTGTCATTCCATAGAGTATAATTTCTTTGTTTAATGGTTGTGCATGAGAAGACACGCGAATATGGATACAAGAATCTTGTTCTCAAGAGGAAAAAAATGGTCACGATTAATAATCCTTCAAATTCTTCTGCTTTTTTCCCTTTACTTTTTGGCTATAATTTCAGAATAAACAGTCGAAATCGTTTGAGGCAGTYAGATCTCGAAACATCACATCGTTATTTCCGCTCTTCATTAGTTTTCATTCAGCTATCAAAAAGTTTGATATATAAAAATATATATACAATTTTTTTCTCTCCTCAGTTCCYTTTTTATACTAGTTCAAAACATAGGTCTTGCCAACATCAACAATAATTTACATAGTGTATAACAACATTCCCTATAGTGGCTCTTTATTCAGCAACAATTTGTTTCRTTATCTGAAACAAMCTCATAAATRCATTGRTGGTTTCTTTGGTATATCTTCTGATACCCACTATGACCTTTAGACCTACYGAGGATGACAACACATTGAAGTTGCATGTGGTTCAGGGTAAGTACAATTTTGTGTGCAACCAACTTGTATATAATTATAATAAAACGTAAAATAAGATAGCTGAGTTGTATGCATGCATTGTATTTCTTGAAATAGAAATCATTTGGTTCATGATTCATTAACRATAGTCAGTTAGTTCCAGCGGATAAGGAAATTGATTAAAAAATGAACGTTGCTTTTGTCTTATTTAATAAGTTCCGATTTTATTTTGTTTCGTGTATATTTTCGATATCACATTTATTTAAGTGTAGGGGTATAGATCACGCCCTTTAGAGCCATCTTTTATTAAAACTCAGTGTGAATAGTAAGTTTACATTTTAAGAGGAATTTTTTTCAATAACGAGCAATAATGGCAAAAAGCGCCAAAAACTAGACTTTCGTATGAGTTTTGATCC